GAAAAGGAAATCGGGTTGGGTTAGATTGGCCGGAACATCAACCAGCTACTGAAACACGGGTGAGTATACCCATTGCCTAGGGTTGATGTGGTGGTATCGCACCGGGCGATGCCGTTAACCATCTTCCACCTATTGGTGTCCTTTTAGTCGCCTTCTACGACAGGCAGGACTTACCGTGGGGTTATTTTAATCTGACCACCACACGGAATAAATGTGTGGAGAACGAAATACAGATTGATTTGTGACACTTCAAGACGCCGATTCTGATAAGTACCTCATAGAGGATCAAACTCCTTTCATGCAGACTGAGTTACAAAAGCAATTAGTTCAATTAGTGAATGATAAGTCGTTACGTACTTCTCTTCACGTAACTTCAGATTTAGTATTCAGCACATAACATGTTTATTCCTCTTATACAGAGTGATGGAAACCTTATGAGCGCGTTCACTTAGGCTCAGATATAGGGTATATAGAAGTAATTTTGCGTACCTACCTGTGGAGTGTTAATTGTTTGGGTTGTTGAACATTTTTATTCCCGATCGTTCAACGACCTACATTCTGCTACAATTTTCTTGAGATTCCAGACATACTATCAACTAATATTGTAGTTCACTGATTACCTTTCGATTATATGTATATATTATAAGTAATTAGATTTTTAATATACATACACTATATTCGAACGTCTCTAGAGCTGTTTTTATTGCCTTTGGGATAGTTTAGTGATTTCAAATCAGAGGATATCATTTTCAACCGGGCATTTTGAAATCACCTGGCGCCTATATTTATTTCTAGATTCTTTTTTTTTTCTTTTTTATTAATGATTGCTATCTAATCCACGACCCTAGGTGTAGTAACGAGCAAGCACACTACTTGCCAAACTTAAAACAAACAATTGAAGGTAGCTCACCCCGGAAACTGAAATACGTACGGGGCGACTGTTATATTTCATACTAGCTTAGTGACAGCTAAAATCGACTAATGGTGAAGTGATGGTTCAGGCACCTGTTGTTTATCCACTGCATATTAGTTTTCTAGCTGGGTAACTTCGAGCTATGAGAATGTTGGTTGCAGTGATATTCAGAAGACTTGAATTGATTGGTATAAGAATCCTTTCAGAGGTACCTAGCCTCTGATGTCGGTGTCTACCTCACTGGCATAGTAGTTATGTCGGTGATTCACGGCTCTATAACCTTCATCATTGAAAAAATCACGTGATACATATACAGGGTGATTCATGAGGAGACTCACTTAATCAAATGGTGAATAAAGGAAACAGAAGTAAGTCGATGTTTATAAAGGTTGTATCATTAATATTGCACGAAACTTCGAGGTCATATTTTTTGGGTCAAAATAGGAAAACAAGTTCATATGAACATCTGTTCAAAAAAGCTTCATTTCCGAGATGAAGGGTGCTCAAGTTCCTTAAAAGAGTTGATTTTATATTGATTTCCAAAATATGCCTGAACCGATAGTGATGAAATTCCCAATCTCTGTTGATATCACAATGAGGTATTTTTTAGATTTGACACAGTTGATGGAGTATCATCAGTTTCATGCCCACGGACAAGTGCGATAGTTTTTGCACAACGAATAACAACTAGTAATTATTTTTTGAATTTTTGCAATTTTTTTGATTGAAGCAACTCTCTAGGGTTTTTTCGTATCTAGATGCGTTTCAGGAGTGACAAACACAAAACGAACTTATGCATGTGAACCCCATGACCAAATCAATCATGTTATCATGACGAGTCAAAAACTGATGAACCTAGCAATGTCCTTTTCTGAAGTGGATGGAAATTAGATTCATCCAAAAACGAGCACACGTTATCATGAATACAAATGAATAATTATCGGAGGTTTATATAAACTTCTTTTCTTATTCTGACCCTGAAAATACGATCCCAGTGTTTTGTGCAACATAATTGGAACATTTTGTACAATGGATCATTTCTTTGGCCATCTATAATGAGGATACAGGGTTTTATGTGAAATTGCCATATAACTTCGATGGCCAATATTGCAGAATGGATTCATCGTGATTTTATGAAATTTGGCAACGACGTTCTTCTATTGGAACGTTTCAGGATGATGTTTCATGAAAACAATCCAGATCCAGACATGGGAAAAATTCATATTTCAATATTCGGTAAAAAATTTCACTTTGTGATCACTTCACACAAACAAGTTAAAAGTTTCAGAAATATCAGACGAAATGGTATAAGAACTGCTCTTTTATTTGCACTGCACACTGTGAGCGGTACAATAAAATAATACTGAACAAAAACATTCGAAAATAGGAGTCGAAAAGAACAAGAAGACGAAATAAAGAGCAGCCAAGAAAGTGAGTCTTAAAATATGCCTGATGATTGTCAGCACGCTAATTGTAACTGATAAGGCTTAGTAAGCCCAAACAATATGTCTGGCATTAGCTGACAATCGATTAATGTAATTTCCCTAGTTTTTCTTAGACTTGAGATTCTAAGATTCATCTCCATCTGTTAGTGAAACATCAAATAACTTTAGATAATTTTTTTATGGACGCCATATTGGATTTTTATCGTACTGAAAAGCATTTTTTATCCCCTTTCCAAGAATGTATTACAACATGGTATTTTCTCTTAAATAAACACTGAAATGAGCGAATCTAAAAATTTCCTAATGAATTTTGAGCTGCTGTTCGTTCGATATGGTCTAGTAGGCGAGCCAACAATTTAATTATCTTGGAACTGTCAGATTCAGTTGGTTTGATTTGTACTGACTTTCATTACATCAAGTAGCATTATTTATTTCCTTTTCAAAAATGCATCACAACAGAATATTATTTTCTTCCAAATAAACTGAAATAAGAGAAAAATATGAGTTAACTGTGACTCTCAAAATAAATTATTGATTTAGTGGGGCTCTGGTTCACGATAAGTTCTAATGTTTCAATCGTTCACTATATTACTTCAGTATTAGGTGATTGATTGATATAGAAAGATAATAGTTAGACAATTAAAAAATTATTCTCTCATTATCGATTGAATTTATTGAACTAATTTTGAAACAGACATTTTGCAATAATTTTGGAACAGTTTACAATACATTGTTATACAAACGAAGTTTGAATATGAACTGTTCAATTCAAAAGAATTGTTTTATGTGGCCACCACCTTGATCACAACACATTTGACAACGATTTCGCAGAGAGTTTATTGCCCTAATCAATGTGTTTCTATTCAGTTTACGCATAGCGTTCCGGACTTTTTCTTCTAAGATTGCAACATTTTCGAGAGCTTCAAATGCGTAAGTTTCGTTCTTGATATGTCCCCATAAAAAGAAGTCAAGGGGATTAATGTCGGGGGATCTAGCAGGCCACAAAATGTCGCCATTATTCGCAATCAATCTATTGGGAAATGTTCCTTTAAAATAATCCTTTGCGACAGCGGCATTATGAGCTGGACAACCATCGTGCATGAACCAAGTTTGATCCAAGTTTCCAACAGCTGCCCTTACAGCTGGCAATATTTGGTCTCTTAAGAGCTCGATATCGTGCTGCATTTGAATTTAAATTAAAAATGGATGGTCCAATCAATTGACTTCCTGAAAGTTGAAATTTCAAAAATTTCATGTTCAAATTCAACTCGCATTTTTTATAGTTACCTAATATACCGCACCAGAAAATAAACCCAAATTTTGTTTGAGATCGTTTTGGTGAGGTGAGCTGTGGGTTTTCTATAGCCCAGTGATGGGTATTTTGTCTGTTGAAAACTCCGCAATTAGTAAATCTAGTTTCGTCAGTCCATAATATTTTCATGGAAAAATTTGGATTTTCTCGCATATTTTGAATGTACCATTCACAAAATCTCACTCTTCGGGGAAAATCATTCGCCGGTAGACCTTCTACTATCCTAGGCTTGTACGGATGGTATTTATTAACGCTCAGAATTCGATGGGCAGATGACTTCGGGATATTCGTTTCATTACCAATTTTTCTAACTGATGCTGTGGGGTTATTATCAGTGTATTGTAACACAGCATCCATTCTCTCCTCATTTTCAACAGCATATTTGCGATTTCTGGGTTTTGCAAAACTTCCATAATTCAGCAAATTTAGTACCAGTTCCATAAAATGTCTTGCGTTTGGCTGATGCCGTTCAGGAAATTTATTGTCATGAATTTCCGCAGCCGCTGCAGAGTTTCTGTGGGCTACGAATTAGGTTTCTAACATGTCTAATTTTTCTGCATTAGTTTAATTAAGAGCCATGTCTAATGATCGGGTATTTAAAAATCCACAAACGTAATGGAAATCAAATCAAACTAAAAAAAAAGCAATTAGCGAATTCAAGATGGATGATTGAATTGCAGCAATACAGTCAGTACAAATCAAACCAACTAAATCTGACAGTTCCAAGATGATAAGTAATTATCATAATTAGATAATTAATAATCAATTGGCTCCCCTACTAGACTATATCGAGCAAACAGCAGCTCAAAATTCATTAGGAAACTTCTAGATTCGCTCATTTCAATGTTCATTCAAGAGAAAATACCATGTTGTGATACATTTTTGGAAAGGGGATGAAAAATGCTGTTCAGTACATCATTTCGTTTTATTTTTCATTGCGAAGACCTTGGAAAAGTGCCCATAAAATTTTAGAACCAAAATACCGTATGTTTTCAAATAACTGAGATACGGGGCTATGTCAATAAAGCACGATTTTTGTTTTACCTGATTATTTCCAAAACAGAAAATAATCGAAATGATTCAATATCAGCTCTGATATGATCATAGAATTCTGAAAAACATTGTTCATTTGACCGACTTTATAGCTCTTATATAACCGAGAAAGCAATACATGCAGCACCAATCTGGGACACAGTGTATAAGAACCCCCATCGAGGGAGGTGGCAGGCGGTCGAAGCTGTTATTAGTCACCCTCAGTAATTGGTAATGTCAAGTAACTTGTTTTAGAGATACACTCACTGAAAAATAGTATTCGATATTATCAGTTTACCTTGTGGAATGTATTTCCTCCTTTCTTGAACAATCGCATGGATAGCTGCAAGAACGAAGAAAATCCTGGCAGAATTTGGGTTCAGTTTCTCGATGTAGGTACTTCCAAAAGTGGTGTATGTACGTTGCATATTATTACTGATACCTTGTGAGGCTTCGTACACAATTTTGAGGCTATTCTGCGCCAGCACTGGATTGAAATATGGGGTAGGCTCGGATATCAACCACAAACTGAAAACAATGTATCAGGAATAGTTATTTGATCAACTTGTGTATTATTGAGTGCGATCAATGTTTAATTTCTTTTCCGTCGACCTCATTCGTGATGTGATTGAAAAATTCTAGATCAGAACATATTTATTCAATAGACTAAAATATACAGATAATGTTGAACATCAATGAACATTCGATTTGTTTTCCAATCTCAGACTGCCAGTTTAGTAACGCGAAAACACGACAACATTGTGAAGGATGAGAAATTTCCGCATCACTAAGGCAGAAGTTCTAACGACGCATGCCGTCAAGATAACAATTTCAGAATTTAAACGTCATCGTCTGACACTCGAATGACACCAAGAATGACACTAATTGAGAGAATGTGTATCCTCAAGCAGATATAAGTGCCTTTTTCCATCGCTTGGTGCGCACGGAAGAGAATCCCTATAACATAATAACATGCTGCAATGTAGTGTACTGTTGCAAACTTCACGATAATTCCAATTCAAGAACTGGAAACGCATTGTTGGTAATGTTTCAGTTTTCCTGAAGATGATATCGCCAAGATGCAGTGGATTAATTTATATAGAAAGATGTGAGGTTCGTCTCAAATGTACCATCTCATGGTTGATAATTTTATGTACAGTTGTTTTCGATAAAAAAACTTACCAGTATTGAAAATAGAGGTTGACGTCATCCTAGTTCTAGTTGTGTGAAACTGGCTCAGCACAAGAAGTCAAAATGCAAATCAGTGGCGTCGGGCATTATTGAAATGAATAATGAGAAGACAATTCTAATAATTGGATAATTGATATTCAACTGTTTTGTAACATCCCTAACAGAAACAAATAACGAGAACAGTGGGAATGAAATTTATAACTTAGTTAACATCACATTCTATAACTTCAGTGTGCCTATTCGGCATTGACTTAATCAAGTTCGTTATTATATTCAGATAAAACTCTTTCCAGCACTCGTGGGTTACTTTTCGTAATTCATTCGCATTTCAAAGCCTGAAGTTCCCTTTGTAGATATTGTTTCACAATTATATCCCAAATGTTTTCTATCGGGTTGATATCGGGGCTGTAAGCGGACCATGACAGCATTTTTACATTATGCGTACGAAACTAATTCGTTACAGCATTGACGGTGTGGACTGGACAAGTATCATGTCGATATGAAAGATAATAGATGAGATCACTATATTTACTGAAATGTTCATATAATTCGCGGCATTGAACTTTCCTTATTCGCCAGCAAATACTAGGTCCATGAATAATTATCTGGCCCCATACATTTACGAAAAAACTCCCAGACCCACAAGCAAGAGAGCCAGTGTATCGTTTTCCAAATCTTGTATTTTCTGGACGATGAACACTGGTATTTTCACAATAAGTCGACTGAAGAGTTTGTTCGTCCATAAAAGTTACCCCATTCTAATATTCTGGGTTGCCATATACATGATTTAGTGCGTTTAGTCGCCGTTCGCGTTCGCTGCTAGATGATTTTCCAACTCAGATTTTCAGGACCTTCTTCTCGCAGTAGGTTGAGAGCCAGGAAATTCTGTAATGATCGCAGAATCTCTCGCCGCTGCAAATGGGTTATCTATTGAGTATGTCACAAAAGCAGCATCTTGTTGATGGTTGAACATTTCTGGACGACCTGATCCAAATTTTCTTCTTGATGACTCTTCTTGCTCCCATCGTTGTTTAATGTTGAAATATCATCTGTCCTCAATCTCAGTCACTATCTGAGCCTTTCCTATATCTCTTGAATTGCGAGAAATTTCCATTTCTCAGACTTTTAAGAGCAATTTAAAAAATGTGGCAGGCAGGTATGACCATTCATTTCCTAATTTTCAATCATTTTTCATGTCTCATTTGATGATTTAGTGATCATTGGTCAAGGTCACAGAGTCTTCCTCATGAATATCTTCTTATTATGTGATTAACTTTCGTTACTGCAGATTATTTCTAGTCCATTCATCAGTCTGCACGTGTTTTCAACTCGAACACGATGGAAGAGGTTCCTAGGACTGGGTAAAACCATTTTTCTGATTTATCATTGCCATATCTTAGAGACAGCTACCATAGCGACGTAGGTTCATTTCTGTCCTTTCGATCATTGCTCATTGCTATCCACGTACTAGCTGAGATGCTTCCATAGACAGAAGGAGATGTAACCCAAGGAGATATTTTTGAATATTTAAATGAATCAGAGCAGTGTGCAACAGGGAATGGAGGACCATTGATGTACTGAACTGTGTGTGCGGTGAGTGTATTTTCAATTCATTAATCATTAATTAGTGAATCAATAAATTACACTGATCATATAGTCATAATAGTATTTTTAATAGACGTTTGTTATTGATTTCGTTCTACGTTTTGTATCAGTTTTTTTGGCGATGTCTGAATGATGAAAAGAACGTTTATCATTGATCAATGACAGTATTTTCAATTCCGGTCACCTATTCGTTACATTGTATTGCATCATTCACGTTATTCGTTGTTTATAACCTACATTGATATACCTACTCGGAAAACAGTATAAGAAGTCTGTACTCACATGATTCGTTATTTTGAATAATGGGATTCAATATTTTATTATTCACCATTTCAAACATTGGAATATCACTTCTCAAAGTGAACATCCAGTGGTGTCTGACGTCTAATAACGCCGGATAATAATCGATTGAAGAATCAAAATATTTACGAATAATCTTTTTTACATAATGATAGGGTCCTGCATATACATATGGATGTGAAGGAGTTATTCATTACGTTTTTCCAACATTATCACTGAAAGTTTAAACGATTTATCAAATGCACCGAAAGGTATAAAATATGTGAATCTCAAATGTTGAAACAAACAATAATCAATTGTTCCAATCATTCCACTAACGGTATATTGAAGATATTCCTAGCATTCGTTGGGATACAATGAGGCGTTTTTGTTAGAAAGTATAAACGTTCGCACGTTCAATGATAGTGGTAGATCAACACGAAATTATGAATTTTGGGAAATGAAACGTGTAAACATTGTGATAATGGGCGTGTACAACTGTACACCTTAGTAGAACTTTCAACTCAAACCATATTTATAATGATCCTTTTATACATAAATAATGATTGACGACATAATTCGATCAAAAAATCAACTGGAATGTTTTATTTTTGGACATGGACCCTCTCATGACGTAGGAACCTCATCTCGCCATAGTTGAAAGGAAATACCAAACGCCCGACGGAGACTGCGGCAACTGATATATTAATTGTCTCAACTGTGACACAGACTGTGATCTCGCGCTAATTCACTCTGTCAGAAATCATATATCATTCATCTCTGTCTGGAATAGTCTTGTTTCAGTATTAGGGTTATCACGTCACATCATCGCCTCGTTTTCAGAGGTCCGAAAAATCGGGGATTTCAATAATTTTTTTATAAAACGTAGGAAGCTCACAGCAAGAAACGGTTTGCGGTGATGAGCTAGTTTGGGTGAGTTCTATCGAATTATGAAATACAAATTTTTCGTGATGTAAGCCCATTGCTCGGTTTTCTTGAAGCAATTCCCAAAGTCAAATGTTTCAATCAGTAACGTTATTTTCACGATTCCAACCGTTATAGAGAATAGGGAAATTGATCGTTTGTAGGGTCATCAACAATAAATAGCATTAACATTGAACAGAATCGTTAATACGAGGTCGACGGAGAAGATCCATAGCCATGAGATCAATATGCATTCCTACCGGAATCCATCTCTGCTTTTGAGTACTTTCAAGTTTTGCGTTAGCACTGTCAACCAGTCCGTTACCAGATGTAGATTTTTCAGTACCAACCATGATCCAGATTCAGAACAAGTCTTCAGGGCGAATAAAGCTTTTGTTTCCTGTCCTTCACCCATAGCCACCTAGAAAAATGATTGAAAATCGAGCAATGGAATAATTTAGCATGGTGTCTTGAAAAAATCGCCAATAAATTCGAAAGGGTGAATGAGAGATCAAGATTTGCCTATTGGAATCAATAAATCCGCTTTCATATTCATCTCGAGAAGAATTATACGCGACAACCAGATCGATCCTTCAAAGTCCAGAGAGTCCGTTTTATTGAAAATATAATAGCTCTCGAATCTTGCCTCTGATGAAAAATCTGATTGAAAACTGTCAAAATAAAAACCCGATTTGGTGAAAAATCATAAAATTTTTGTGAAATGAATATCCATAGCAATGTACAGGGTGGGCAAAATTGGGCGTTTTCACCGTCTATCTCAATAACTAGAGGAGTTATCGAAAAACCGATATACATGTTCCGGGTTCGATTTTGGAGAAACCTCGAATGGCACAATCAAAATTTAGATATCTTCATTCGTTTTAGAGATACAGGGGGAAATTGAAAATTTGCCGATTTCGATTTTATTTCCTGACTACTTTACGGTGAGAGGTATCATAAAATTTCAAACGTATATTTATACAGTATGATGCGTGGAATCCATTGGCATCATCAGAAATTTTATACAGGGTGACGTTGAAAAGATACGGCAGCCAATTATGTTTTTTCTAATGCAACACCCCGTATATTTTGGCACAGTTGAATAGTCCCAGGCGGTCTCATTACAAATATATATAACCCTACCTTTTCCTTCTACAATTTCAGATATATTCGCAAAAATATATTCAGTGTGTCACATTTCTTATGGTTACACCCCCGTATCTTCTGTATCTGGAATTTGGACATCTTCTATAAGGCTATATTTTTCAACGCAACCTACTGATTTCCTAATTGAGTAAATTATTGGTCTCATTTCTGTATCTCAAATGTCTTGATAACAATGATATCAAATCGAATAATTTCCCATTTTATTTCTCACCAAATATCCATTTGTCTGGAAATAACATTCCCTATGATATTCATTCTCCACCTTTGGTGAATATATACAGAGTGTCATTTTCAACCTCGATTCTGCCTGTTGATAGCATTATCCAGAAATATCGATGATTCCATAGCTGCTGGCGAGCAGTGTTATCATTGGAGATGATCCCACTTGGTCCATGACTCCATGAGTGTATCATTTATATCTTTCTGACAGTTGCGAATTTTTGAATCCTACCTCAATTATTTTTACAGAAGATACGGGGGTGTAACCATAAGAAATGTGACACTCTGAATATATTGTTGCGAATATATCTGAAATTGTGGAAGGAAAAGGTAGGGTTATATATATATTTGTAATGAGAACGCCTGGGAATTTTCAACTGTGCCAAAATATACGGGGTGTTCCATTAGAAAAAACATAATTGGCTGCCGTATCTTTTCAACGTCACCCTGTATAAAATTTCTGATGATGCCAATGGATTCCACGCATCATACTGTATAAATATTCGTTCGAAATTTTTTGATACCGCTCACCGTAAAGTAGTCAGAAAATAAAATCGAAATCGGCAAATTTTCAATTTCTCCCTGTATCTCTAAAACGAATGAAGATATCGAAATTTTGATTGTGCCATTCGAGGTTTCTCCAAAATCGAACCCGGAACATGTATATCGGTTTTTCGATAACTCCTCTAGTTATTGAGATAGACGGCGAAAACGCCCAATTTTGCCCACCCTGTACCTAACAAAATAATATCCTATTTCTTCTGCCAACATTTGAAGGAAAATTATGATCCATTTGAACAAATAAGAATGAATTCAATTCGATCGTGAGAAAATAATGTGGGCTACATGTTAGTGGAAAAAGCATATCTTTTGCACTCAGCATCTCTCGACATCGTCTTGAACTTGTAACTTCATGCATCATGCGACAATCAAGAATTTTTCGCACTAGTTACTCAAATGAATGAGTTGCTGGAAGAATTAAGTGAAACACTAATATTTTCGACGTTTCCCAAAATGCGATAACATTTTCAATACCAAAACGATTTCCAATCGGAATAAATTGTTCAAAAGATGCGTCCTAATATTCCTGTTTAGGATTCATTGTTCGGAACTTTTCGTTGTTATCCAGTAATGACATACCCAAAAAGAGTGTTACATAATCGAAGAAGTTCGGGAGCTGCTGTATTCAATATCTTAAAATGGTTTTGGAATATTTGATCTTCCTTATACAGGATGTGGAATATCGATATTTTTCAATATTCTGTATATTTTCATTTTCCTGTGGATTCCGAAATTCTCAGGGGATTTTCATACCGTACTGCATGAACTGTTGTAGTCATTCACCTGGCTCCAACAGTAGCAGAAATCTCGATAACAACAAAATGAGCGTTTTTCAAATATTGTGTGAGATTTTGTGGAATCGTCTGTTTATATTGATGATGCTACAATAATGTGCTTGGGAAATGATAAATCCTTCATTTGAATGGATTGCCCCAGTCAACATCTTGAAACAGATTCGTGATCTTCTTGATAAGTCAATTCCTGGGCCCGCAAGGGGCCACTTTCATTATTCATTACTTTACATGAAATATTATAGCAACGGTGATTTCCAAACATTCCTGAGTTGGTATGAAATTAAGAAACCTCTATAGTGCACGTTTCCTTCATCACTCGAGAAAAGTGACCGTGAAACGACGATTCCAAGCAAGTGATCTCATTTCAATTATTTCAACACTCAATATAAAAGAACTGCAAAGCGAGTGACAACAACTGTAATTATCTTGCCGAAATCATTCTCATCATCAAAGTTTCATAATCATTGTTCAAATATATTGAAACCAGCAATGAAAAGACTGCTACTCATAACACGAGTTCGGCGATTCTTTCATAATGGGATGTTATGACGAGTGTTGAAATAATTGAAATGTAATCACTCGCTTAGAATCGTCCTTTCACGAACATTTTCACCAAGTGATGAAGGAAACGTGCACTATAGAGGTTTTTTAATTTCATACCCACTCAGGAATGTCTGGAAATCATCCTTCCTTCAATGTTCCATGTAAAGTACTAGATAATGCGGAAGTGCTCCATTGCGGCCCCAGGAATTGACTCATCATGAGTAATACAACGATATTATGAATATTCGAGATGATTCTGTAGCTTCATTGTTCACGAAAGTGTGTTGCCGAGCAACACCACGGGTCCATCAGGACGAGTGGAATTGCTGTACGGCAACCATATACGTATTAATAATCAATACGGATAATCTTTATCTGTTTCCATAGCAAAACATGAAGCCGATTTTTGAAGACAAATGACTATCCATAAGGAAAGAATGTCATGACCTTTTGAAACGATCAGACACATACTGCTTTGATTGAAAGGCTAGTAAACGTCATTGTCCACCGAAACGCATGTCTTTGATGACTACTATAATAGCGCATGGCGCATGCGTATCATGCCACCAAATCCTTATGGATATTCATTTGTTTCATATTTTTGGCTTCATCCTGGCACCCGTTATGATCCGTATTGTTTATTAATACGTTCATGACGGCAACACAATTGAATGGAATGAAACACAGAATGATTAGGAGGTATTCATTATTTTATGTCAAACTGACAGACTTTGCTTCGCTATCCATGGTGACAACCAGACTTTGCTTTGCTATCCGTGGTTACATCGTTGGCTGATAGAATAATTAGAATTCAATCAATCAATCAATCAATCAATATCATTTATTGTATCTGAAGAATCATATTCTTATTACAAGGAAATTGGTGTGAGCCAAATTTATATTATATACAAACGAGACACTGTTAACAGAAGTATATAAAAGAGAATAAAAAAAAACTGAGAACATTTCGAGTACAAAAAATGAAACTGAATCATTATAACAGATTGAGTGCTATCCAAAGAAAACAGAAAAAAGAAATAAAATAATGAGACGCAAAAAGAGTAAATTACTCATTAATGATGGAAGATCGTAATTTTAATTAGAATTCAAAGACAGGTAATCTTTTCGCGATAAGCACACGTCCTTCCGTATGTTATTGGTCAGATTATGTTATGAGTGAAGTAGTCTTAAAATCACGGAATTTTTTAGAGATGTTGACTGAGGCAATTCATCTGATTGGAGGATTCATAATTTCGAATGCACATTATTTTATCAGCTCAATAAAAACAGACAATTTCACAAAATCTCACATATTATTAAAAAAATGCTCAGTTTGTTGTTGCCGACAGATCAGCTGTTCTTGAAGCCAGACGGATGACTTCACCAGGAATGAATTCGATCGAATTAAAGTTGCAGTACGGTTTGAATATTGTCTGAACTTTTTTGAATCCACAGAAATTCATAAAAATACAGAATATCGAAAAATATCGATACCATTTCGAGATATTGACGTGAAGATTCGCGTGAGTTGATTTGCAGAAGGATGAGAAGATAACTGCGGAATACGGGAGCTCCTAAAATCTTCTTGACCAATTGGTATGTTATAGCTGGAAAACTTCAGGAAGTACCAAACAATTTATTCTTAGCAGAAAGGACGCATTCGCAGAAAACTAATTGCACTTCAAAAACCGTCGAAAATTCGATAGGTCCAATTATTTCTTTTAGCATTTTATTTCGAATAATCATTTTTTGTTCGATTGGTATTGATGCTATCATCATTATTCATCGATATTTGCACGCTTCAATCAAACCATCACCTCTAAGAAGTTTCGTGATAAACCGTTGGCCAACTCCTTGATCTCCGAAATCGGATCGGTTCCAGACATGGCGAAAATCAGAATAGACACTGCGCTGCTAGATTCCTTCAACAGCGAGCCGAGTTCCAAGACAGGCGGATCGAGGGTCCTGATTCCTGCTATGTCCATAGCCCCCTGCGACATCATAGAGTAGAGCCTGTCTGGACGCAATGCTTGGAACATAAATTAGTAATAATTCAGTAGCTATTTATCTACTCACTGTTTCGAGAGTAGGCATTCTCATTATATTGTTTTCATAAAAAAAAAACAATTGGCTGCAGTATGCAAAGTTTTCGCCTAAATACCTATGAGATCCGTGAAATCCAAGTAATAAGTGTCTTTATAATAGGGTTCTTTACGAATTCCAATGACCTTATACACTTTCATATACCAAAATCACTCGACCAGAACTATCGAATGCAATTCAACAATATATGAATTCGTGAAAACAGAACTGTCAGATTGATTTTCGCAAAGTTTCAAAAACTTGCAATTGATGTTCATGACCTACTGAATCTTTGAAACGAATATCAGTTCGTATTCAGCGATAGATCGTCTGAAGCACAATTCTTAGAATGAGTGCTTACAATATATTCGTCGATAAAATCATATAAGTCATGGTTCATTTCCCTCCATATGTATTTAATGCCCACTGCTACGCCTCAGGCATGAAACTTCACACACGGAAGGAAATTTATAACTTTGCTCCTTTGATATATCATAAGCTATCACATATAAAGGAAGAAGGTACCAATCTTCTCCTATGTGTGATGTTTGATGACTGACAATGCAGTGTTGCCGCTTCTACTGAATAGTAGTAACATTGATATTTCAAATCAAACACTATGTATTTCATCGCATCCTGAGATTCACCCTGAGGAGCTCATTCAATCGATATATCACACTCGGGGTTACTCAAAGAAGATAACAGAGATATATGGTGTTCAAAATCAAGATTTTTCTACTTCCAGATTTTTTTGTGCCGAAACTATTCATTATCGGTCAAAACGGCTGACATGTCCCTATCTCAACTTTCGATTCACTAATATTTTATTGGAAAATAATCATTTTTTGTTCAGTTGGTATTGTACTATCATCATTATTTATCGATATTTGCACGCTTCAATCAAACCATCACCTCTAAGAAGTTTCGTGATAAACCGTTGGCCAACCCCTTGATCTCCAAAATCGGATCGGTTCCAGACATGGCAAAAATCAGAATAGACAGTGCGCTGGTAGGGTGGTTCAAGATTCAGGATTCTGATCACCCTGTATTTGTTTCAATTCGATATCAGTTGATAGTAAACCGAGATTTGAGATACGGATATGTGAGCCGTTTTGGCCGATAATGAATAGTTTCGACACAAACAAAACCTGAAATTAAGAAATCTCGATTTTGAACACCCTATATCTCTGTAATCATTTTCGATAGACCCCAAAATTGATACAATGATGGAATCAGATCTTCTGGGAGAATCTAAAAATTCAATGGAATACAGAGTATTCTATTGGAAATAACAAAGTTGTTGCTACTTTTTTATAGAAGCGGCAACACTGCGTTGCTGGGATTATTTGAAATGATTGTGAAATATAAGCATTTATATTCTTATGTATTCCTCCTGGATGATTCTCGATACAGAGATAAAGTGTAAGCTCGTCGTGACATACCCTGTATTTCCTGCATAACTTTTGAAAGGTTTGTCACAAACTTAATGTTTTTTTCCATATATGAAGGGATGTTCAGTGATTATGTCTCATTGAGGATGTGACAAACATACATTCCAACCGTTTCTGAGCTAATAACGGGTGATAAAAACCCTATTCATTCAAAACCACCATGGTCATTGTCGAAATTTACATAAATACAGATATTTATATTTTCAGCAAAAACATCTTTATTTGTTGTTAAAAGGTTTCTTGGATATTTTCGTTAATATCATCATGAATTCTTTTATAAAATCAAGTCAAATATACAGTTTTCAATCAAATATCAGTTGAATATATATTTCGAATTGTATCTCATTCACATAGGTTAGTGACCAGTGTGTGATAGAGATGAATCATGACATGCATGGAATTTTTTTTTTCCTATGGAGATACTCAAATTTTATTTAAATAATCGATATACATGAGGTGCAAAATTTCATAGAGTTGAATAAAAAAAAGCATCGATGATCATTTCAATTTCAATAAACCAGCCTTTAACCTATTCTTCGCAAGTTATGATATTTCGACACTTTATTTTTGATGATTTTTCATGAAGAATTTCATATTCAATGAAACTGGAATGATGTTCGGGAATATTGAGCTTATTTGCTGTACGAATTCCACACAAGAAAAATCAGATGAAGTAAGCTTTTACCTACCATCCAAATACCCAGCCGATGAAAAGTTTGAACAATTTAGGAAACAATTCTATATTTCCACCCAAGATGAAAGAGAAGCAGGAATCTCAGATAGACATCAAGACGACGGCCATGAAATTCAAGTACTATTTTGAGCAAAAATGGTGAGATATGTTCCCCCTGTTCACATGTCAGCAGGAAATCATATTCTATCCAATGAACAGTTTGTGAGAATTGGATTTGCCTCAATTGTTCAAAATTATCAAGGAAAGAAATCAATGAAATCAAGAAATTTTAATCTGAATGAGTATGTAATAAGTGCCACAAGAAAACAGAGAATGATACAAAAAGTATAGTTGAAAGTAAAGGAGCAGAATAAAACTTGCTAGAACAAATTTTACATGGAATAAATACTAAAATAGAATACATAATAAAGAAAATTGAAAAACTAGAAGATATTCTGAAAAGATATGAGAACGTTGCAACAAAACTGGAAGGATAAAAACTGATAAAACTTTTAAAAATGAAATTGCCCGACATTAATAAAAATAAAACATATGCTGATATAATCAGTGCAGCCACAGTGAAAGAACCAGTCCTTCAATAAAATATACGTTCATTAATAATAAGACCAAAAAAACTCAAACTACTAGACTCACTAAAGGAAAAATACATAAGGAAATAAATGCAAAAGCATTGATTAAAAGTGTGAGTGAACTAAAAAATGGAGGAATCATTATAAAGACGAATAGTAATGAAGAAATAGCAAGAATGAAAGATTTGAGTGAAAAAGAATTGGTTCCTGATTATACTGTACATATTACAAAAGTGGATCGACCTGAGATGTTAATCATAGGACTCCAAAGGGAATACACAGATGAAAAACCCCAGGATGAATTGAGAGTACTTAGGCATATCGATGTCGATGATAAATTATATGTAAAATATACCAGACGGTCAAAATTTCCAAAAAAATATATTGCTTATGTAGAAACTTCAGGACAAACTTTGAAAAAATTGGTTGATAAGGAAATAATATGTATTGGATGGAATAAATGCAAAATCAAGGAGGATATCAATATAAGGTATTGTAACCGATGCTGTGGCTATTGACATAAAACGGCAGAGTGTAACCGCACAAATTGTAAAATGGCACAAATTGTAAAATTGCACACATTTGGAATTTGGAGATGGAAATCATTATATACATGAAGCTACGTGTCCTATTTATCTCAACATAATCAAAATCGCCAGAGAACAAATCGATAATATAAACTAATCTGAATCTGATGAATATTCAGATAGATAGAAAAATAAAAATATTATATATGAACGCGAGATCTATGAAGACAAAAATTGATGGAATTGATATAATAGTAGCTGACCAAGATATCAATGTAATTGTAATTAGTGAAACATGGGTGAGGAGAGAAGAACAAAAATACCATAATTTCAAAAATTGGAATTGGGAATCTTTATCCATAAGAATTTGGAATTTGAGATACTTGATAGAATGGAACAGGAATTATCTTATCTGGCAGTGAGATTAAGCACTATCAACTTTGTTATAAGTGGAATATATAGACCACCATCCTTCAGGAAAGAAAGTTTTTATAATAATATTAATCAAAAATTGGAAAATTTGGGTAAATTAAAATGTAAAAGCTTATTACTGGGTGACGTGAATATTGATATTTCAATGCAGAATGATAATGATACAAAAAGACTCATGGGCATTATATTCATCAAACTGCTTCGATTTATGCAACAAAGATGTTTCAACAAGAGTCAGTAACAATACAACTAGTTTGATAGACCGTGGCATCACAAATTCGAGCGAAAACATTGAAATATATCTGAAAGACTCACCAATTAGTGAATCTTCCATTGAAAATTCACATCAAAAAAACAAAATTCAAAAGGATAGATATACAGAAAATCAAAGTTGATATGCTGAAGAATGATCTCTTGAAAATGCCGATAAACACATATGAAGACCCTAACATAAGTATTTGAAAATTGCTCGTATACTATAACTTTGAAAATAAAAGAAGATTCGAAACCTTGGTTTGATGAAACATTAGTTAAATTAATTGAATTACGTGACAAATATTCTCAAATGAAGAAAAATAAAAGAAATGGTGAACCAACTGCTGCTGAACTATCTCAACATTATAACAAACTGTTCAAGAAAACCATCAGGGAAAGAAAACAGAATTACTATTAAGAAGATTTGACTAATAGAGACCAAAAATCTATGTGGTTACCATGAATGCCATAATGCATAATGAAGTGAAAGAACCCAATAAGGATGTTGAATTTATTAAGAAGAATGTCAAGAAAATGTTCAACCCCAACGAAATATGCAAAGAATTTGATGAATATTTCATAAATGTTGGACCAAAATGAGCAGCAAAGATTCTTATTTCATTTAAAATGGGAATTGACAAATTCAGTTCAAATTCAATGTAGTAAAAACCAACAGATGATGAAGAAATTGAAGATATTATAAATTCCTTGAATTCAAGAAAATCTCCAGGTTTTGATAATAGTAAGTAAGTAAGTAAAGTGAGTAAGTAAGCATTGTAAAGACTGTTAAATATGAAATATCATCGATAATTTCAAAATTGATGAATTTATCTTTTCAATCAGGGATTATACCTAAAAAAATGAAAATAGCGGAAGTTAAACCAATTTATGAAAGTGGATCAAAGGATAATATGGAGAATTATAGACCTATTTCCTTACTACCAATCATTATTTTATCGTGAAAGATTCAATAATCTAAGGAGACAAATAAAAAATGACATCAAACTTGCGTATAATGC